TAGGTTACATTATTTATATCAAATGTTGAATTTAGACAATTTTTGATCAATTTTTAACCACAATTCATATATGAAGAATGTGGTTTATAGGATCGTTTGGCTACCCCTTCCCTCCGCCCCGCTCTATGGGATTTAACATGGGATTACAACTTAAGTCTATGGCTATACTTTAACATGGGGCTAATGTTATCCTATGGGTAATGTTAAGTCTATGTGACTAATGCTAATCCTGTGGAAAATCTATTGAGCAATACCCGAATTGTAGTTAACGTATAGCATTGCTATGTGATCCTTGTTTAAATTAAATATATTGTTTATTTTAATTAAAGTTTAAATCAGTTGCTTTTTATATTTAAAAAGGTGTTCCTATCTTACCATTTGATATATATAAATAATGTAACCTGNAACAGATTTTCATCAATTGGTTTCTTGGAGGAGAGTTTTCAAGATATGGAATAAATGTATTCAATTATATTGACCGTGATCCAAATCAATCAGAAGATCCCATGGCCAGAGTTTTTCCAAAACTAACCAAGTGCACATTCAGACAATATGGCCCTTCTGGTGATATTAAACGGTAATACAACGGTGTAGTGACTACACTGTATACAATATAATATATTATATCATATTTGGTACATAAGATATATTAATACAGTATAATCTATAGATTAATCTAATTAATCTATATATAATATAAATATGATTATATATTAACATTAAAATTTAAGTAAATAATATAAAAATATATGAACAAATTAACCACAACTCTCAATAATATTGTCTTAACGCGGTGCGTAAATTAATTTTATATATATAATTTATTTCAAACATTGTTATATATGTAATGAAAGTAAATGCAAATTTGATTATCTATTTAATAATTAGTTTCGATAATCTGTGTCTTCTTCCACAAAATGTTCTCAACGAAAAGGTTTATATAATTCTTTGGTTTTGGTAAGTGTTTAGTATTGAATATTTGTCGCAAACTGTTATATCATAATTTTATATGTGTTTATATGTGTTTAGGCTTTATTTATTAGTGATTGCCTCTGGCATAATGGTTATTTATCGGATAATCATAATAGCATTTCCACAAAGTCGTTACTATTTGCTCCATAGACTCCATCATTTAGGTATAAAATTAGTTTTATATAAATTGAAAATAATGTTGATGTCAACCAATTAGTACAACCAAAATATTTCGATACAATTCTAAGTCGATGTGGTTATGGAGATTGGTTTTTGCTTTATTTAGTAAGTTATTTAATGTCTTAATAACCGTTATATATTAAAAAATATAACTTTATATAATTTAATTAGTTGGGCAAAAACTTGGATACAATGCATTATCGAGATGTTATCATTCAATTAAGCAAAAAACTGGACGAATTACCAGCAAATGGTTTCAATGATGAATTTGATTCTTCTGAAAGCAAAGTTTGAATCGTTTGATTAAGATTTCGCTTTTATCTCTAACTTTCACGTCTTGTAATAATTAAATACAAATTATTTTTTAATTAACATTTGTTTTAATATTTGATATACAAAACACATTTATATTGGTTTTATAATTGAAACATAAAAATTTATTCAAATAAAAGCAAATCCGGCGGAAAGATTTTGAAATGAACTACTATTTAAAATAATATTAATCAATAAATTCTTTATAGTACAGTACAGTAATGTAAAGTACATATTTATAGACTATAAATTATAGTTAAGAATAATTTAAAAGAATTTTCCTCTCTTTTTTAAAGAATTTGTTTTTAACACTGTTAGCACATATTTTAAGTAATTTTTATGTAATTAATGAGCATGTTTTAAAAATAATTATTTTAAAATTACTGCAATTGCAATTAAACTATCCAATGCCAATAATACTCCAGTATACCTTTTAAATCATGATTTATGTCATAGCATGGGAATTTATATTAAGAATATACAATAAAATAGCGTTTACAAATTACAACATTTAATACAAATTTACTCAAAATAAACGTTAAGCAATTGCCTGTAAATTCTATATTCTTAAAACTAATTCTAATCTGCTGTATACAAGATAGAACTCATGGTATATACATATTTGCGTATTTGCCCAGTCTTAGATTTGTAATCTATGAAGCACAGGTTAACACTATGATGTTTGTTGTTACATGTCAAAATAAAATAGGTCCCACAGCGATGCTATACGTTAACTATACAAGATGCTCAAAGAATAGATTAGCATTATCGATTAATGTAATATGAGTCCCAAAGAATTAAAATTGTTTATAAGATTTGCATTACCCATGACAAAGTATAGCCATAGACTGGACATGCGAGCGTCTTTTTTATTGACTACATGTGAACAAGTGCGAACATAGGGAAGGGGTCTAGATTTCTTAAAAAGTGCAAACGTAGTTTGTAAATCATCCCTAAATGAATTGCGGTTAAATTTAAAAATAATTTAAATATACAACAAAAATAATAATATTGTGTGAATCACCTAAAAAGTCTCAATCTGTTCCTATACAAGCAATCTCTGCTTTTCGGAGCGATTGTCTGGGCACATGTTTTACGGACAATGCTTTTTGTATAAAACTTAAAATATTGTACCCTTCATACTAAATCTCGGCAACTTATTTCTGTAATTTAATTTACATATCACATGTGATTATTTTATGAGTGCAGTTAAATTTATATTATAACTTATATATTAACAAAATGATGTTTAATAAATTGAGAATTAGTTTATTTATTTTAAAAATCCATAAATATATGAATTACATTTTACTGTTATGGACCATAGCCATTCCAAAATAGAGAGGGGCTTTTATTATTTGAACGTGGTTACTGTTTGACCTTTATAATTTTTATATATTGCTCACTATAAATGTGAATAGTGTATGAATAATGTGCACTATTTTTTATAAAGTGGCCCTACGTTGGCCCATTGGATTTCGCTGGTTATGGTATACAATGCAAATGAACTACATTTCCTTGCAATTCAATCATATCTATAATACTTGTATTCATGATAAAAGTTTTGTGATAATTAATATAATGTACTCATTCTTAGCATTAAATTTGGAAACTTGGATACAATAATAGGCACACATTAACTGCCTTTATATACTGATAAAATAGTATAGTGTTTTATACATTCTATTTATCATAGATTAAATTAATATCAAGTAATAATAATATTAATTAAATAAATTTCTTTTTTATTTAGTCACGTATTCACTAAATAAATTTATTTATATTATTATTCTAAAATTTCAATACTAATTGTTATTATAATATGCTAATAGAATTTATAATACAAATAATATAAAATATTTCTAAATTTGTAAACTGTTTTTAAATACATTATTAATATAACATTAATAATATAGTTTGTATAAGAACAATTACGACATTAAGGCATCTCAAATCAAATGCAAATATTTATTTTAGTACAATTTATTGCATTTTATGATTTATTAAAATGAATGTCTTATGATTGAAATGCAAGTGCTTTTAGTAAAAATTGATAAACAGATTAAATTATACTCTAATTTATATTTGTACTCATATTGTTTCACACAATTTGTATGATAAGAGTGAATGAACATCAATGATGTTATACTGTATAAAATATGATATAATCTATAATATATTTGTCTCGATTGCATTTCAAAAGTAAACAACGTTACACACAAAATCACAACCGTTACACAACCAGGGGGTGGGAGGTGGAAACTATAGACGGGGATGGAATACATGAGTATGTAACGTGGTTAACGGGTTGTACTCGTTTACATATAAAAATACATTAGTTATATAAAGTCGAGTTATTTTGTTTGTAATGTTGTTTACCTTGGTTACCTCTTGGTTACCAGACTTCTGAAGATAGTGTTGCATCACACACATTTTTCAAGAAAATATAACATATATTTACTAGAATTAAA